AAACAATTTGTGTATTAATTGTTTAATAAGAAACTATTTTGCTGTGTAAACTTTCACCTAAAACACAATTAAAAATAAAAAGATGCTTCACCTGCCCAAGCACTTTTCATTTTCAAAGCAGGTATATCAACTTTTATATATAGCTGATTTCTAAAACTCCAAGCCTTAAATTTTTTCTTTTTTTTTAAAATAATGATAATAAGGCAAAACAGATGAAATTTCACACAGCAAAAATATCTGTACAATTCTCTAGAGGTTTTGCCAGTTTCTTCATAACCAAATTCTTCCCACTAATGAACTGGAGTCTGTAAATCTTAAAATAATGAAAAGTTTAACAACAAAACCAAAAATTACACTAAATAGACAATAGATAAGTGGTAACTTTGGTGAACGGTAAGACAGTACAAAATACTGGGGAAGCCAGCACAACTTGTACAAGGCAGGGTCATGGAAGCTCCATAGATACTTCCCAACTCCCTGAGGGACTGAATTACTAGGCTGAGGGCTGTGGGGACCATGGTCTCGGGGAAACTAGCTCAATTGGTATAACATAGTTTATAAAGAAAATGTTCTACATTCTACTTTGGTGAGTAGCGTCTGGGGTCTAAAAAGCCTATGAGCGGCCATCTAAGATACTCCACTGGTCTCATCCCTTCAGGAGCAAGGGAGAATGAAGAAAACTAAAGACACAAGGGAAAGATTAGTCCAAAGGACTAATGGACCACAACTACCACAGCCTCCACCAGACTGAGTCCAGTACAACTAGATGGTGCTCGGTTACCACCACTGACTGCTCTGACAGGGATCACAATAGAGGATCACAGACAGAGCTGGAGAAAAATGTAGAACAAAATTCTAACTGACAATAAAAGACCAGACTTACTGGCCTGACAGAGACTGGAGAAACCCTGAGAGTATGGCCCCCGGACTCCTTTTTAGCTCAGTAATGAAGTCACTCCTGAGGTTCATCCTTCAGCCAAAGATTAGATAGGCCCATAAAACAAATCGAGACTAAAGGGGCACACTAGTCCAGGAGTAAGGACTAGAAGGCAGGAGGGGCCAGGAAAACTGGTAATAGGGAACCCAAGGTTGAGAAGGGAGAGTATTGATATGTCGAGGGGTTGTTAACCAATGTCATAAAACAGTATGTGTACCAATTGTTCAATGAGAAGCTAATTTTTTCTGTAAACTTTCATCTAAAGTACAATTTAAAAAAAAGGAGGGGTGGGGAGAATAACAAGATCTCTCATGCCTCATCCCCAAAAAGGCCTCTTCATCAAAGTACACATAAGCAGTTGCACAGTACTTGCTTCACCCTTTGACCCAGAACATGAATATGTGAAATATTTTTTTTATGTAAGTAGCATGTACAAGGACAGCATCTGAACAGACTTTTTTTCCATTAAGATCCAAAGGGGAATGCATGGTATTCTGAAGTTTACAACTGGTTTTTAGGGCCTATCAAATAAGATAAATGTAGGGTACACATTTCTAATACAGCAGAACTTCCAGAAGACAGGCAATGATGCAGAAGTATGAGAGATTAGATAATGATTCCATAAATGGGTTCAGTGTGCGAGACAGGAGACACAGGCCGTGAAACACAGACTATGAGCTGGCAAATGGAGATGAGTTAATACTGCTTCTGAATCTGGGTTTCTGGGTTTTGGTTTAAGATAACTGCTCTGACACAGCTAATGGCAGAATCCTGGACAACGAATTACTTGCATTTTTAACTTGTGTTAACTTGGTAAAAATTAAAATGACTTGTAATTATTCTTCATTACTTTAGCTTTCAGAATTGGCTATGGGCTACTTCATTTGTCACTCACAGAAAGATTCCCATCTCCTGCCAAACTCAGCATCAGGGAGTCTTTGATGGAAATGTTTTCATAAATCCTTGGGGCTACACATCCGTTAGATACAAAATAGAGCTCCAAGTTTGGCCACATGTGAAGTTAGAAGACCCTTCAAAAATAAAATGCAGTCAATGAGGTTCTCCCCTCTCCCACTGTAAGCTTACGCTTCTTGGAATTACTCTCTTGGTTCCCGAAGAACTTTCATGGTTTGCCAAACCACCTATGACCCTGAATAGCCATGAGCTGTCAGCCTGTTGATCTGGTTCCCACACTGTGTTTCCATATTAATGCTGAAGACATGGATGCTAAATTGTATAGTACTTCTAACCTGTAAAAACACATTTACAGACACTGCCTCACTTCCTCCTCTCAAAATTTTATCCAAAACTCACCTCTTCATTACCCCTGCCCACCCCTCCATTGTGCACCCTGTCTCCAGGACACCACCACTACCCATCCTATTGGTCAAAGCCCAAACCCACAAGCCATCCTCAACTCTGCCTTCTCCTGGGCCACCATCCAATCACCAGATGTGGTTGATTCTACCTCTAAATTGCTACCTCCTTCTAGTCCATAAGGTGGCATAGTGGTTATGCGCTCCGCTGTTAACCAATGTCAGAGAGGTTTGAATCCACCAGCCACTCTGTGAAAGATGTGGCAGTCTGCTTCTGTAAAGATTACAGCCATGGAAACCCTATGGGGAAGTTCTACCCTGTCCTATAGGGTTGCTATGAGTCAGAATCGACTTGATGGCAGTGGGTTTGGGTTTTGATTCTAGTCCTACCTCCTAAGCTCAGGTACCACCATCTGCCTAGGCTACTGCAACAGCTCCTTATACCTGGCCTTAGTTTCTCCAATGTTCTCTCCATACCAAAGCACTGACTGCCCTGCTTAAAACTTCACTGATGCTCCCTGACTTATATGCATATAGAGCCCAAATGCACATAAGGCCCTTCACAATTTGGTCTCTTGCCCAGCATTCCAACCCCCCTGCTTACCAAACTTCCCTGGAATCCTATACTCCAGCCACACTGAGCTCCTCGGAGCTCCCTAAACATGACAACATTTTCATACATTCATGTCTCTGTCATGCTGCTTCTCTGACTTATCCTTTAGAGCTCCACTTAGGGTCACAATCCCAGAAAGCAACACGGTACTCACCTCCACCCCTACCTAACCCAGGTCCTGCACCACCTTCACAATCATTGTTATGCTGAGCCCATTGTCGTACCCACTGTGTCAATTCCTCTCCCTGAGAATCTTCCTTTTTTTTTGCTGACCCTCTAATTTACCAAGCATGATGTCCTTCTCCAGGGACTGGTCTCTTCTGACAACATGTCCAAAGTATGTGAGACGAAGTCTTGCCATCCTTGCCAATGGAGCATTCTGGCTGTACTTCTTCCAAGACAGATTTGTTTGTTCTTCTGGTAGTTCATGGTATATTCAATATTATTCACCAACACCATAATTCAAAAGCATTAATTCTTTGGTCTTTCTTATTCACTGTCCAGCCTTCCCATGCATATGAGGCAATTAAAAACACCATGGCTTGGGTCAGGCACACCTTTGTCCTCAAAGTGACATCTTTGCTTTTTAACACTTTAAAGAGGTCTTTTGCAGCAGATTTGCCCAATGCAATACATCATCTGATTTCTTGACTGCTACTTCCATGGGCGTTGATTATGGATCTAAGTGAAATGAAATCCTTGATAACTTCAATCTGTTCTCCATTTATCATGATGTTGCTTATTGGTCCAGTTGTGAGGATTTCTGTTTTCTTTATGTTGATGTATAATTAATACTGAAGGCTGTAGTCTTTGATCTTCATCAGTAAGTGCCTCAAGTCCTCTTCACTTTCAGTAAGCAAGGTTGTGTTATCTACATATTACCGGTTGTTAGAGTCTTCCTCCAATCCTGATGCCCCGTTCTTTTTAATACAGGCCAGCTTCTTGGATTATTTGCTCAGCATACAGACTGAATAAGTATGGTGAAAGGACACAAACCTGACACACACCTTTTCTGACTTTAAACCACGCAGTATCCCCTTGTTCTGTTCGAATGGTCTAAGTTCAGGTTCCTCATGAGCACAATTAATTGTTCTGGAATTCAAATTCTTTACAATGTTATCCACAATTTGTTATGATCTACACAGTCAAATGCCTTTGCATAATCAATAAAACATAGGTAAACATCTTTCTGGTATTGTCTTTCAGCCATGATCCATTTGATATCAGCAATGATAACGCTCGTTCCACGTTCTCTTCTAAATCCAGCTTGAATTTATGGCAGTTCCCTGTCAATGTACTGCTGCAACTGCTTTTGAGTGATGTGCAGCAAAATTTTACTTGTGTGTGATGTTAATGACATTAATGAGGCCTGGTTGTCAATGGGCCCAGAAGTGCAGAATATTAGAATTCAGAACATAATTCTTCCCACTAGGTTTAGTTTGTCTTCACCTCACTAGTAGCACAGAGAGGTGAAGTTTGTCTAAATTAAGACATCAGTCCCCTGATTTGGGGACACCAGACTTTGTAAAAGATGCATGGTCTTGCTCATGCGCCAATTCTAGCTCACGCACTTTTCTGTTTTAGAGATAACTATATAGCGTATCCCCAGAGAACCCAGGGTTCACTTCCATCACACTGTGCTGTCATTGCCCTATGTGTTATTTACCCCCTTAGACTCGAAGCAATTTGAGGGAAAGGATAATGTCTTGTTCATAAATATCTGCAGCACCCAGCACTAGTGCTTAACTGTTGCTTCTTAATAGGTGCTCAACAAATGCTTCTTGAATCAATAAAGGGAGAAGTTTTATGTAATTTTACAAATGAGGACTCTTGAGGCAGAAAGCAGTTAAGTGACTTGCTTAAAGAAGAACTGAGACTAAAGCCCATGCCTCGTGATTCCTGGCCCTGTGGGGTACGGGCCACCAGCTGTCAACAGGAGATGTCCCAAAGACCGAACAATCCAATGTAATACAAGGATAGTACCAACAGGTGGGAGCAAACCTTCTGAGTGACAGCTTTCCCTATGACCAACACGGAACAAACGTTAAATTCAGTGGGCCCTTAAGCAGCTACATTTTCAGACATATTCCCAGGCTTTCTAGCAGCCTGATCCTTCGAGGCCCACATACTATACCTTTTTCCTCTGTTACGTGGCCAAGTAACTTCTCAAGCTCAGGAAGTTTCAGCAACAGGGTGCAATTTGGAAATGTGTCATCCACCACAACTTGATCCAGGGGCTGGAATTTTCCCTGAAAAAACACTTCACTCAGTCAACAAACTCACACATGGAAAGACAACAAAAAGGGGTATTACCTTATGGCTAGGACTTTACACTGAGGTCAGTCACTTGTCCCATATAATGAATCCCTAAGAATCCCTGCACTAAATGGGGCAGGCTCCGGAAGTGACCCTCAGTTCCCTTTATGAAGCTCTTGTGAGAGCTGGGGCTCCAACCAGCACATCATCTACCTTGGGGCAGAGTCACCAAAGTAAAGAGGGGCATTATTCTGGAAAAGCACTGGAAGCCATAGAAACTTACAAAGATAGCAGTGATTACCTAAGGTTAGTCTAACCCACTGAATGTGAAGATGAAGCAGCCGAGGACCACACAGCAGGAGTCCTGATTATCACACAGGAATAAGCCCAGACTGCGTCCAGAGTGGAGTCCCTGGGTGGTGCAAACAGTTAAGTGCTGGGCTACTAACCAAAAGGTTGGCAGTTCAGATCTGCCCAGAAGACCTGGCGATCTGCTTCCAAAAGATCACAGCCATGAAAATCTTATGGAGGGTAGTTCTAGTCTGAAACACATGGGGTCACTATGAGTCAGAAACAACTGATGGCAATTGGTTTGGTTTTGGTTTTTTTGCGGGGGGGGGTTTGATTTTTTTGGGAATGTACCTCTCCCCTCTGCATATTCACTCCAAGGCTGAAGAAAGAAACACCCACAAAGAAAAATACCAAAAGTAAATCTACTCCTGTCAAAGCTGTCTGATATGCTTTCAAACTGAGACCATAATAGCAGGAAAGACAACTAGAGGGTAAGTACAAGCAAGCTGCAGACACACTCAAATTAGGCTCAGATACAGAAGCACAGGGGGCCTGGTCGCCAGTGGGCCCAGAAGGGCAGAATTCAGAACATTACTCTTCTCACTTCAGTTTAGTTTGTCTTCACTAGTATCATGGAGAGGTGGTTTGTCTAAATTAAGATATTAGTCCTCTGATCTGAGGATACCGGAACACAAGTCATTGTAAAATGACTTATAAAAGATGCGTGGTTTTGCCCATGCGCCACTTCTAGCTCATTCTTCTGGTTTAGTGACAACTCCTTCTGAAGACAGAAAAACTGTGTCTGATCAATTTTCTGTCTGGAAATGTAGCTTTCTTTGGTTTTAAGGTGAAATCTTCTCACTCATTCGGTAGTATGTGTAATACCTTGGCATATTTTCTGTTAGAATAACAACTAGCAAGAAATGCCTCAATTCAAATGTTCTCATTTTCCCTCAAATGGCAAGAATAATTTACAGATTTCTTACAGGTCTTACTGTCTTCAGACTTCTACCTTAATCTATATTCTTTCATGATCAACCAATAGTTTAAATATTTACTCTAAAGCAATACTCTATCAGTAAAGGACTATTACACAGTCATGATATAATTAATGTTCTCATTCTTGTTTTCTTTACCACACATACATAAAAGGTAAATGCAACAAACAACCTGCTAATGCTCTGAATACACAATTAATAACACTTGGGAAAGCTAGAAAGTAGAGTTATTTTTACTGAGGTTAAAATAAGTCTGGTGATTAAAAAAGGATAGGTCAACATTTCAAAAGTGCTTACCGATTTTTTTCTAAGTAAGAAAAGGTCACTTCTAAAATACAGGGAAAGAAATAACTAAATGTCTTATGTGTTATTTTAAAGGATCCCTCTAGCACTTGAGAGAAGAAAGTAAGATGGTTTAAGATGAAAGCAAGCCAGCCCCCTGCGAAGGATTTCAGCTTCATTCTACCTGTCAGCCTGAACCAGCCCTGGCACCTGGGGCTCCCAGAGACATGGTGCTAATGGGAAATGGTCAAACACTCCCAATAGAAGGGGAGGGGGACTTAAAAGTACACCAATACATGCACTAGGGCTGGTTGGTGGTGTTCTCTCTGTTAATTTATCCTAGAAAACACCACGTCTGTGAGCCAACTGAAGTTTTCAGCTTCCTCTCAGAATACTCTCAGGGCCTTCCTAGTGATGACCGCAACAGTTTCTGCACGTTAGAAAGCCATGACTTGAGCCCTCTTCGCTTATATGACCTAATTACATTGGTTACCATGGTAGCTTCCAGATACATAATTTCACTAATCCACACTAAGGAGTCCCTGGGTGGTGCAAATGGTTAATGCACTCGGCTGCCAACCAAAAGGTTGGAGGCACCTCAGAAGAAAGGCCTGGTGATCTACTTCGAAAAATCAGCCACTGAAAATGCTATGGAGCACAGTTCTACTGTGACACACATGGGGTCACCATGAGTCAGAATCGACTTGATGGCACCTGGATGAACTATGGTTATTCAGACTTGGGTATTTGGCGGTAAATGAATGACGTGAACCTGTCATGTCAAGGGAAAGACAGTATTTGTAGCAAATGATAAAGTTTGAATTTTGAGGCAAAAATCAGAATTATGGAAAATCTGTATCTGCCACCATGACAGTATCCTAACACTTAAAGAATCTTCTGATGAGATCAGTGGTGATATGGACAAAGGTGATTTTTTTAAATTTATAATGAGATTTGGAAGATGTGCATAACTCAGTAAACAGATATTTTCCAAAGGACCATGTATGATGCTACAAAATCAGACATGGGTGAAAGATCCATTTTAAGTGCAAGATGGACCAGTGGATTTTAATTTAACAGAATACAAAAAGTTGACCATTAGGATTTCAGATTCCACACTGCAACTAACCTTTAAGAAAAGTTTTTGATTTTTGGAGTAGTATCAGAGAAGAGTATCCACAGTTATCTGAAAAGGCTATCATAATATTCTTTCCTTTTCTGACTGCATATCTGTCTGAGAACAGATATTCTTCATATAATTCCACCAAACAATGTATCAAAACAGACTGAATGCAGAACCATAGATGAGAATCCAGTTGCCCTCTAGTAAGCCAGACATTAAAGAGATTTGCAAAAATGTAAAAGAATGCTATACATCTCATTAATTTTTTTAATTAAAATGTGTTATTTATATTAACATGCAATGGGCTTATTTATTTTTAAATAAATTAATAAAAATATTGTTAAAGTTCTCAGTTTTAATTTCTAATATGGTTAATATTGATAGATAGAACCCACAGAAATAAAAGCTCTTTGGGATGCTTAAAACTTTCTAAGAGTATAAAGATGTCCTGAGACCAAAATGTTTCAGACCACTGGCTGAAACTATCACTATTAGTAAGCTGTCTTTATTTATAATGCAAAGTTAAATTTTAGCCAGCAGGATTCCATAAAGTCTCAACTAAAGACTTCCCCATTGATGAGCTTTTACTAGACACGCCCCATTTTACCTATTACACCCACTGCTGTCGAGTCAATTCTGACTCATGGCCATCCTACAGGACAGAGGAGAACTGTCCCACAGGGTTTCCAAGGAGTGGCTGGTGGATTCGAACTGCTGACCTTTTGGTTAGCAGCCGAGCTCTTAACCACTACGTCATCAGGGCTCCTACCTACTACACAGTCTCTCACAAAGAAGAAAATGAGAGAAAATAATTCTTCTTTCTTCCTCAAGGCTTGTGGTCAATTTTTTTTTGTTTTAAACATTCGTATTATATTTCAAATCTAATGAGTACTTAATGACAAAAGTTTTTATTGTCAGATTCTGTCAACCAAGTAAGGCATAAGGGGTTGGGTGATTCTCAGAGGTCATGTGGCAAGCTAACGCTAAACTAACCAGGTGCCACAGAGTTGACTTTGACTCATGGCAACTACATGTGTGTCAGAGTAGAACTTCCTCCATAGGGTTTTCAGTGGCTAATTTTTGGGAAGTAGATCACCAGGCCTTTCTTCTGAGGCAGCTCTGAGTGGACTTGAACTTCCAACTTTTTGGTTAGTGTTAACCACTTGTACCACCCAAGGAGTGTTAAATTGGATCAAGATTAAGACCCTGGTTGTCAGCTCTACATGTCAATGCTCTGATCTTCGCTAGCACACAGGATACATGTACAATAACCAATTTAAATCTGAAGTGTGGGGAATCTACATTCAGATAATTAAAAGGAGAGAGAAGAGATAAAGTAAAGAACAGTCTATTCTGTTTCTTCATTGGTAATACCCCAAACTGAGAAACTCACCTCTTTTTCAGTCTTCATAAGATAGTGGAGAATCAGAAATAATGGGTCCATTGGTGTGGCAAAGTGGAGGTGACCTTCTACAGATTAAAAAGAGAACAAAAAGAATTAAATATCTTAGAAAGACAATTTGGCTACTTCATCTTAATCCCAATGGGAAAACCATTCATTGAAAATATATTTGAAATCACAAATTAAGACCGTCTGTTTATAAAGGCCCAAGATTTCTAGGTGACTATCTCAAAAGGCAGAACGTGGTCCATGAGATTTTACTCCAAAGAGCTTCGAATCCCTGTGTGGACAGGAAAGTCAAGACACTGGAATAGATCTTTAACTTCCCACTTCAGCCTTTGGAAATCATTTTCAACAGCAGCCAAGAAAGAAATGCGGGAGCGGCCCGTAGGTAGAATGGTGAACTAGGCAAATACTAGGAAACCAGCATAAGTCAGTCCATCTATAAAGCAGCAGTAAAGTGTCATTTCCTGTGCTTTTGAGGATGAAGTGATGGGAAAGCAATAGCATCAGTGTGCAGACGGTTCCTTCTACGGTCCGCTCTGCAGTGGGCTCACAGCTGAACAGGCCACTGACTCAAAGCTTATAAGGCTGTTAACCACCATGACCCTCCTGCCCCTGGAAGAAAAAGGCAAGAGGGCAGCAATCTAACAAGACCGGACATAAGCAAACAGAACAAAAGATTAATGATACTTTCCAGGCTAAAACGGAAAAAGGCATATCAAAACAACACAAACCAGCCCACCTGCTCCCCACTTCTCTTTCCTCCATCTCACTCCCTCCAAGCATCGCAGACTCCTCCCATGGACATGAACCAGAAGGGGTATTTCACCAAATGGAACAGCAAACACTTCATTTACCTCCTCAAAACTTACTGTTTTAGCTTCAGGAAACACATTGTTATGTTATGGGTTGAACTGTACCTTCTGAAAAGATACGCTGAAGTCCTAACCCCTATACCTGTGAACGTGACCCTGTTTAGAAACAGAATCTTTGAAGACGTAACTAAGTTAACATGAGGTCATACTGAAGTGCGGTAGGTCCTAAGCCCATCTGAGTGCTGTCCTTGTATAAAGGAGGAGAAGAGATACAGAGGACAGACAACCATATGAAGACAGAGGGACACAGAGGACAGACAGCCACACGAAGACAGAGGGACACAGAGGACAGACAGCCACATGAAGACAGAGGCAGATGAATCCAAGAGCCAAGGAACACCAAGAGGCTGGGAGAAAGGCATGAACAGTTTCTGTCTCAGCCCTGAAAGGAATCCATACAGCTGGTACTCTGATTTGGACTTCCAGCCTCCAGAACTGTGAAACGACACATTTCTGTCATTTAAAGCCACCCACCTTGTGGTATTTTGTTATGACCGCCCTAGGAAACCAAATAAACATGTACTCACATTTATTCTCTAACAGAGCAACCTACCGATAGAGCTAAAAATTCTACCCCTAAGTATCTGTGGATGGATAGATGGATAGATATGCGCGCCGCACGCACACACACGAATCCATTTCATAGAACGTAAGTTAAAAAAACCTAAGGAAGTAATTTCATACCGTTGTGCCACTGCTTGATTATTTTAAAAAAGTAGAAGAGAAGTTTATAAAAATAACCTTACCAGAAGCTCTAAGCTCATTTTATATGAGGCACCCATCAAATTCAGAAATTAGCAACAGTTTTTTTTTTTTTTTTTGGTCTGAAAACAATATTCTGATAGTCACTCTTGAAAACAGCTTCTTCTTCAGGATTAAGTTTAAAAAGAAGATGATGAAAAAAGCAGTACCAACTCAAGCAGTGCAGGACAGATGATCAGTCATCTGTCTCCTGATATTTTCCACTTTCAGTCTGGATATTACTATGTTAATCTAGTTAAATACAATTGCAGATGTATCGCATTAGAAGCTGGAACTCTATTATTATCAAATGAATAAGCATAGCAGCAACAATTAAAGGACATATATACTTTCTACCTACTAGCCTATACACAGCTGGCCATTTGCATTTTGGCAACTGAGAACTACTTCAAATCTTCTGATGCACATAGATATAGAAAATTTATCACCAGCAGTAAATAAACCCTTCCTCTAGACTGCCTAAGAAGAAAGGCAAAGTGGCCTTTCTACCTTAGCACTAAGCACAACCTGCATAGCAGTAGAAGCAGAGGGGTTAGGAAGAAACAGAAAGCACTCTCTGAGAGCAAGGAGAGGATAGGCAGATACAATGTCTGTTGTTCCTGTTAGCTGCTGTTGAGTAGGCCCTCGACTCATGGTGACCCCATGCACAACAGAGCAAAATGCTCCCTGGTCCTGTGCCATCCCCATGGTCAGCTGTGGCTCGGATCCTTGTGATCAATCCAGAGTTTTCATCAGCAGATTTTTCGAAATAGAACACCGGGCCTTTCTTTGTAGTCTATCTTAGTCTGGAAGCTCTGCTGAAACCTGTTCAGCATCACAGCAGCACACAAGCCTCCACTAACAGACGGCTGGTGGCTGCGCATGAGGTGTATCGGCTGGGAATTGAATCTGGGTCTCTTGCACGGAAGGCAAGAATTCTACCACTGAATCACCACTGCAGGATGCCTCACTACCCAGTGACTCCCCTGCCAAGGCCCCGAACAGCAGTCTTTCGGTATTCTTTTTCACTGAATCAGTGTTGCCCCCAAATTAAGGGAACATTAAAAGAAACAGAACTATGGTGGTGTGGGGGATGGCTGGGGGGACACTAGTAATTCGGATGACAAGGCATTAAAAAAAGAAAATCTTTGTTATATTCTAGATTATCTTGGAAGCTATGTGTGGTGGATTAATTACTTTTGTGTGTGGCCTTTATAGCCCTGGTCTTGTTAACTCCCACCCAGATGATTGTGTGATAGGGTAACTGTGGCCTACCAAGGGGATTGGTCAGTTTTTCCTTAAACAGAGCCAATTCCAGAGCAGGGAGGAGGAGCCCACCACCACCAAGGAAGGAAAGACCTGGCAGCAGAGACCTGGCAGCAGGAGACAGTGTGGTGGGCTTCCCAGCCCATGGAGAGAAAAAGCTGAGTGTCTTTGGGTAGAGATCAAGGGCCAGGGAGAGCCGCGTACCTGCGAGCACAGCTGGGGAGACTCTATACTGATGGAAGAACTGTATCCTGAGTGTTCTTGAGCCTGAATTGTACCTATTGCTTCCCTAAAAAACTCTGCCATTGTGAGTATGTTTGTGAGTTCTGTGTGGCTGCTGCAATGAATAACCGAATGCAGCAGAGAAGTAGAGAGTGCTGTGGGAGGGACGGCTGGTGTTACAGTTGGTAAAGATGGCAGAGAGAGGAGGAATGTCTGACTTCAAATCAGCCTTGGGCTGTTGATCTTGGTTCTGCTTCCCCCTTGCGGGACTGGAGGAGGTCAGACACTGCCCCCAAGCCATTATTACACTATGTCAGTATACATTCTCAGAAATACGATGTTAAAAACTTGAGGGTTGTTCATTGTGAAAATGACAATTCTACCCAAAGCAATTTACAAATACAATGCAATCCCGATCCAAATACCAACAACATTCTTCAAAGAGATGGAAAAA